TGGCAAATATTGAACTATACGCATCTTGACTGAAATTTGGAAAGTCCAACCTAAATGGTTTTAAACGACATTATTATTAAATAAATTAACCAGTAGTGAGAAAGGTGTTTGATTTTGCACTTGTATAATAATTATATTATTCTTGAACATGTATAGATAAAAATAAAATATTTTTAAGATTTAACTATATATGATATAAGTAAATTTAATACAGTAAAAGGGAGTGCTTAAATATGATCTAAGTAAGTAGAATTTTACTTATTTTAAATCCCTAATCGCATGTCCTTTTATAAAAAAAGTAAAATATTGTTGGTAAAAATAAGAAAAAATTAAACATACTTGAATGCCCACAAAACGTTTATAACAACTTCGTTTATAGGAAAAGCGACAATTCGCATACCTATAAAAACGAAAAATTGTGACTTTTTATAAAATTTTAAATTCCGATATAACGACAGCTGGGTCATATAATGCAAACAAATTAAAATGAAGTCGTAGGATTTATTATTTTATAAATAATTGTCGAATATGTTTGTGCATAACAACCGTGTACATATGCATATAAAACAAATACGTAATTGCTTATAGCGTCTGTCGGTTATAGCGAATGAATTTCGACAGTCCTTCAGTTACTTTACACAATAATTCTGGACTACAAAAACTACTACTTTGAAGTTATCTTTTCGGTAGGTCGGTAAGTACCCTAACGAAAATCAGTTGTTCCCCATTTTGTCACTGTTTTGACCTTCATTGACGTAGGTACCCTAAAATCTGCATACCGAAAAAAATTGGAGCAAATCTGTCTTAACGCCCGGTTTTTAAAATGCTAATTTAATATTAAACGAATAACGTAAGTGAAGTAATTCTTCTTATTTGTTTAGTGTTTGCAATTGTTATTTAACTGCAAAATACAGTCATGCTATGAATATTAAAGTTTAAAAATGTATTGCTGACTTTTTGAACTTCAAATATAAGTTTTTATTAGGTACCAGTGTTAAAGATTTTGGTGAATATTCAATTTTTAGCGGGGTATTTATGCAAGTCTTTATCTCAAATTCGGAGAGAATTTCTACGAGAGCAAGTTTTAGGACAATAATTGAATATCGTTTTCCTGAAAGAAAAATATATTAATTATTATTTAATATGAAAATCCTTTGTGTAGATTAAAGTATAATGTTTCACTTTTGAGCAAGGAATTTTTTACATACCTCGTAAATTCGTACGTGGTTTTGTCTTTTTAATTTATAGTCGATTATTTGAAGGGAGTGCGATTGATACATACAGAGTGTAATAAAAATAAGTACCAGGTTTGCAAGGTATAGAGTAAATGTTTATAGTACTTAGTGCTGCCTGTAATGTACTTATTTAATTTATTTTGTCTAAAAATTATGTATATATACTTAGATTTGCAGATCATATAGCAGTATTAGCATCTAGCAAGGAGGACCTAGAGATAGCTTTAAATAAAATAGAAGCGGTACTGACAGATCAGTACTGTATGAAAATAAATAAAAGTAAAACCAATATACTGGTATGCAAGGGACGAAAAAGTAGGGAAACAGCGAATATAAAGATAGGAGACGAAAAATTAAAAGAAGTTGCTGATTTTAGATATCTAGCAAGTCAGATAAGTCAGGACGGAAGGAGTAATAGGGATATAAAGCAGAGGATAGCGCAAGGTCGTGTCGCCTTTAATAAAAAGAAGTCACTTCTATGCTTGCGAACGGTTAATTTAGAAATTCGAAAAAAATTGTTAAAGGTGTATGTTTGGAGCGCGGCGTTCTACGGGTGCGAAACATGGACAGAATAGGGAACAGAGGGCTCTATGGACGACCTTATAATAATGATGAAACATTTTGTGTAGTACTAAATTGTTTATGTTTATCGTAGATGTTCAATAATGTTTACATTCTCCATCCATGTAGCTGCAGAGTTTTTATCGCACTACGTTATTCGTTAGACGGTTAGACACCTATGTTAGCTATTAATGTACAGAATCGGCTTCGGACTGTACTTATTTCTGTTACACTCTGTGTAAACTAAGGATAACATACCTATGCAATTTCTTGGGCCGTTACCAAATGGCAAATAAAAATAATCTGAAATATTTCGTTCGTTTTCCTTTGAAAATCGTTCGGGAATAAATTTTTCAGGATTTGGAAAGTACTTTTCGTCATGATGAAGCCCGTACACAGAAATATAAACGGGCGTTCCTGGTTCTATGATAACGTCGCTGTTTGGTATTTTATATATTGTGGAACATTTTCTATCCAACAGGGAGAGGGGTGGATATTTTCGCAAAACTTCTATAATTCAAAAACTTACATTAATTATATTACAGTTATCTTGTATAGAAGCTTCGATATTTTGATTGGAATGAACTGATATCAAAGGGTAAGACGCCATAAGCAATTGGGGCTGGGCGAAGGTTCGAGATGATTCAATCGATGAGCCGTACTAGTACTAGAATATTTTGAAAATGTATGCGTAAAGTTGGAAAAGGTCATTTTTCTACAGCACTACATGTATCATGGATGTAACCATCTGTATTACCGCTGTCACGTTAAAATTTTCTAACCAAACTTGTAGGGCAGATTTACATTAATATAAGGTCAGTTTTGGCTAATGGAATTTATATACTTACCAACACCTAAGATGACCGCAAAAGGACTAAAACCTTTTGACAATTTTAGTTATGGATACGTTTTGTTACGTGTAATTTTTGATACCGATAATATTGAAATGCCCGAAAATGAAAATGAGTTGCCATAAAATCTAGAGAATCAGATTGAATGAGACATTCTTAAGTTAGTAGAACTGCTGTATTATGAGATTTATCTAGTAAACTTTGTATTGGTAATGGATGTAAAATAAAGAAAACATCAACAGTTTTGCGCTTAGCAACACATTTAGCGATCCATTTTTATATAGATAGATAGATAGATAGATAGATAGATAGATAGATAGATAGACGTAGATAGCTTACTACCATGGACCACTGATTGAGCTCACTTCGAACCTTCGTCCAACTATAGTTGCTTATGGCGTATTAATCTTTCCAAAACCAAAAACGATACACTTTGGATCGGATCCCTTATTGCAGTTACGTATTATTATAAAAATTGAAAATTACTCTTTATTTAGGTATTCATAGTTTGTTTTACTGAAAAGGGACGTCCCGAAGAAACTTATATACNCAGTCGTAATTCTTTGCACAAATTTTGTTGTGTCGTAAAATTTTAATAAGTTGAAAAATAGTTTTGCCGTTCAACAGCCAGCATGTTGTCCATCGGTCGGAACAAAATCCCAATGGAATGGAAGTAAGTAATAATAAAAAGACACTTGGAGAAGTTTCACCATCGGAAGTCACCCTTGACATGCATAGAAGAAGCAACATTAAATCAATTAAATGTATAGATAAGTAATAATAGAAAGACACTTGGAGAAGTTTCACTAAATTTTATTACGAAGTCGATGTACATTTCGCCTTTGAGTAGGATAAAAGCCGGATAGTTGCCTCAGTGGGATACATGCCACGCTTTTTAATATACTATCTTAGAGATGTATATGGCATTAGTCCTTTACTAAAATTAGAAGTGCCCCTCCCGTAGAGCTCAGGGCCCTGTTAATTGTCAGAGTAGTCGCAAGCATTTTGTCCATGTAAGCAAAAATCATTCGGGGCCAAACTTTGACGTACTCTTGAATATAAAATGTTTTTGTGAGATTTGTACCTAAAAAGGAGAAAACTCTTCAAAAATTAATGATATTTCATCAAAAATGCAGAGATGCTAAAATGGAGCTAAGTTCGATACAAACGACGGCTGAGATCTGAAGGGGTCTCAAATTACAAATAGTGATGAGCAAAGCAAGACTAAGGACAATACTGTCCCGCTCTTGGTATTGGTCTTGGTCATGCGTATTCAGTCTTGGTTTTGGTCTTGCTCATTGGACCTAATATACAAGTTTTTTTTTTTTAAATAATTCTTTTAAGAACAAATTTTTCTATTTACCGAATAAATAAAAGTGTCTTAAATGTTGAAATTTTCTGTCACACATGCGAGCTTGTCATAACGTAAAGAAAATAGTGTTGATGGTTGTGAAACTCGAGAACTTACGCTTACTTCAACGCATAAATTGACCCTTTAGAGAACAAAATAGTAAAGGGTACTTGAAAGAAGTAAAAAATATCGAAAAAAAGGTAGTTTTTGTCTCTATATTTTTTACCATGTGTTATCCGGACATAGGAACAAAAACACTTACTCCGACGCCATTATTGTAGATTCCTTTTTTGAAACAGTGGTAAAGTTTTTTTTTTTTACATTAATGTTAAAACATAGTAAAGCAAACTGAAAATTTCAAATACTAAAAATGTTTTCTTCCAAAAAAAGAATATTTTAAAGTTGCTTCAAACAGTTTGATTCACAAATCCATCGGAAGTAATAATTTTTCGTTTAGTCTTGCGTATTTGGTCTTGAT